TGGCCAAGCATATTTCCGGTCTCTTGTGGACGTCACGCTTATGTACACGTTTTCTCGTCTCTCTTCAATTCATTCATCATTTCTTTCTCGTCGTTGATCCCTCGAATCTCTATCTTACTCTCCAATTTATCAAACGAAAATTTTGTTAAAATTTAGAAAATGGGAACTACCAGTTAGAAAAATTTAATTCACTCTATTCTTCAGAAAAATAATTAAAAATTGAATGGAAACAGAGGATCTAATACTAATCAATCAAGATTCTACTTTCGTTTAGACGCCGATCTTCCGAGGATCCGAAAATTTTGATGAAAGAAACAAGAATGTTTCTTCTTCGTGTTTGTAATTCGGCTGCTCAGTCCAAAAGGCCGCAAATAACACTTTCGAGTACGATACTTCTTGCTTATCCCTGAGCCAAAATCTACTTGGGACCTTTCTGACTCAGGACCGAAGTTTTCCCTTCTTTCTTTTTAGTCTCTTGTCGAATGAAATTCGCTTCAGTTGCTGTGGACGGAAAAGGAACGATCCTTCTTTCTGACAAATTTTTCTTAAACGTGAGTGAGGAGAAAGAAATCTTTTCGAAAGAAGAACAGCGTCTCGACGACGAGATACACGACATAAAATTATAGAAATTCGATTTACGAAGGATTACCTTTCTATAAATCACGATAATAAAATTGTAAATACGTTGTTTTATTAATAGGAACTGTTAAAAATAAAAAGAAAAATTTTCTCAGATTTCTTTTGTGTTTCAAATTAAATGATAATGCGTTCTTAACCCTTTCGCTGCGGTATCTGATGCATAATAATGAAAAATCGATGAAACATGATAAATAATTTATTATTTAACTCGACGTTCAGCATCTCCATTGATGGTCGCATTAAATTCTAATGTGACGCGCAACGAAAGGGTTTAGTTATTTTCTTTTTTTATCAAACGATATAAGAAGAGAGGGAGATCGATTATGATCGAGAAATCAACGAGGAACACAGATGCTACGAGCCATTTTCTACTTGTACGATCGATACTTTCACAGAGAGACGTCGTCGATCGCCCCGTCGTGTCCTCTCCCTTTTTTTCCCACGAAATTTTAAAAACTAATTTGTATGATTCTTCCCAACCGGCCGAATAAAAAAGGCCGAGCGATGGCGAGGCTTAGAATTTCATTAAAAGAATAAAATAATTAGTAAAATCGTTTGGAATCGAGCGCATAAAAGGGTCGCTCGTAAATGGGTAATTAGATTAATTAATCGTAGAAATTCACGCATCACCCAAATACGAGCGGAGTGGCTATTCAAAGTGTTAAAATTCGAATCACCTTTGATCCTCGCCATCGCTTGGCTGCTTTGCGTGATTCGTTAAAATGCATCATCAAGATCTAACGCGTGATTCATATTTTTCTAAAATTCATGAAAAGCCTTGAAACACTTTGTACATGCTTCTGGGTCATCGATAGGAAACGAGAAATGAAAAGCTAGAAAACAATAGAAAAAGAAAAGTTTGAAAATCTATGGAAACTTGATCGATGCACTTTATCATTGGTGACAAAGCGTGTCGCGTTGATTTTTCAAAATTTTACCCTCGACAGCGTCACGAGGCTGATCTGATCGGCCCGCATTCAGAGCTTCGCAACCCAAGCTGTTCTGTTTTTTTTTTTTTCTATTTTATATAAATCCGGTTCCGTGTTGTATGTGTATTTCGTTAACAATTAAAAATTCATTATCTTTTGCTTCCTATTTTTTACTTATCGTTTCTCCTGTTGCATCACCTATTCCCACATCTTCGATCCTTCCTCTGTCGTTTAAATTCAATTCGCATTATTAGGGTATAATAATTAATTAATTGATGAATTAATTAATTATAATAGTGTCATTATAATTCGTAATAATATACAACATTTGTCAATAGATCATTTATCCTAAAACCCACCGCATGCTCGTGTCGAAATAATCGTTTGCATCTATTCTCCTTTTCTCGCACACCCACACACACACACGTACGTACATTTTTTCCTAACACATTCTTACATGGAAACACGCAGAGGCATACTTTCTTCGATTCTTCATCTTCATTTCTTTTACGAAACACCCTTTTCTCGTTTTCTTCGCACACTCTCACACGCCGTGGGACTGTACTGGCTTCACGCGTATCTTACCTATCTAATTCAATGATTTGTATTCGTTAGTGTTCGTGTATGTGTGTACGCGCGTGTCTAAGCTTTTTTACTCGCACGTTCTTACCCGCTTTTCCTACCCCGTTCACCGCTTCATTTTCCCGAACGAGTTTCAAATTTCATTTCTACCGATCTTTTCGTCTAAAATTGAATACTAATCAAATTACAGTAAAAGAATTAAATGGAGCAGAGAACGGGGATGGAAATTTCGGCGAGAAACAAACGGCGACGACCTCTTGCTCCTCGTACTGGATCACCGTATTCCCCCGTGGAAACAGAAAGAAAAAAAAATAAAGAGAACCCCCTTCTAGAGCTCGTTCTCCGTTTTGTCACCTAAATGCGTGTGTGTCTGTCTGTCTGCCTGCGTGTGTGAACGATGCCTGTGGTCGATGAAGAAAAAGGCGATCGTGCGAAGTGGAAGCAACTACCCCCGGATAGCGCAGAGTTTATGGACGTGATGAAACGCCGACGTTCGTGCCCTCTTCCCCCACACAGTAATTGTCAATTAATTAACCAAATGGATTTTCTATCGAGTTTTCACGCGGATCGTTTGTATCCCTGTCCGACGCGTCATTAATTAATTAATGGAAGAATAAATCTCCTGCGGTTGTTCTTAGCCGCGCTTTGAAAATTTTCACGCAACTCCGCTTCGAAGGGTACTTTGGTAGGTAAAAATTTCTATAAATCCCCGCTTCGAAGGGCACTTCTTCGAACACTAAAACTTAGCACGACTTCCGGAGGATGCAATGAACGTCGATCGTCGAATATTGAGACAAGAAAATGCCGGAAGAAATCGTGTACTCGCGGTGACACCAGTCGGGAGAGGTGAAGCCTAATAAATATACGCGAATAAAACTAAAACGATGTTCCTTTCTTAAGAGAAACTATGATGTGCGAACAGGACGATCGTGACGGATCTGTAAATGACGATTGTACGCAACAGAGAAGAAGGCGAACAGCAGAAGAACGTGGACTTTGTTAGGTTCAAAATGTCGCTATGTTTCACGCATTTTCGAATATATCCTCTCGGTATATGTAATGCCCCGTTATGCTTGTGCTCGAGAGCTTAAAACAGCGAAGGAAGAGAACACAACGAATCACGATGATTAATACAAAAAAATAGGAACAAACAGTGTAAGCATACAGTGTGAGGAACATATATATATATACACACATATATATATATATATATATATCGTGTACAAACGTAACGCGCAAGGAACTTTATGCTAGAATGATTCACATTGTGTCGTACGCAATCCTGCTGTGTTAATGTTTCATTTTGAAAATCTTTCTTTTCTGTTCTCGATACGCGTGCCGTGTTACGAACGAAGGTAGATGGTCGGCGGGGTATTAAGTAACGATTGTCTCGCTGAACATCCGAAGCAAACGCATCATCCACACCGATGAACATGCTGTTCCCGACGATGTATCCTCCGCAAGGATCGCGCGAACCATTGGCTAAGAAAAAATGAAATAAGACGATAAAACCTGACATCCTCGGCCGATCAACGTATCCACGACGAACTGGAAAATATTTTCATCAGCTATCCTGTCTGCACCTGGTCACACACGCGTAACGACGATAAAGGAAAGGACGAAAAGTTCGACAAGATTCGATACACGGGGCAATCAGGGCCTGTGCGTTGGCGTTCGATCGGGCTCCGCGCTTGTTAGAAACCTTTCAGCCTAACGGATGATCCGGTATTCCTATTACACACCCATATCATCTCGCAACCACACTCTCCTACCTCGCATACGCTTGCACAATACGTACTTACGATATACCTCTTACAATATTTTTTTTTTTATATTCATTTATTCTATTAATTATATCAATACTGTTGACGGATAGAGATTCATTCACAGCTCGCACCAGAGCGAATGATCGTCTCTGCCGTGCGCGGCGTACCGTTTCATTTTCTTTTCTCAATAAACATTTACTTGCGTTCTATCTTGCATTTCTTCTTCTTCTTCCTCTTCTATGTCCCCTATCTCCCCCCCTACCCCCCACCCCCAAGAAAGCGTTTCACCGATACTTAATCTTCCTTCTACATTTTCTTTATATACTTTGTTTTCTTTCGACGTAACGTCTTATCACACGCAAAACGCTTGGCCTCAGCGGCAAAGCCAGAGGCCGTCACGGTTCTCGTCACGGCGCGTCGTTTCCGTCGATTCACCGCGAAGCGTACGAGCTTACGATACGACCGATCCCTCGCCTTCCGGTATCCTGATTCACCCATCGAACTCGACGAACTCGGAAACACCGTGCACGCCTCCCCGTATACCGCCCGTTCGACAGGCGATCCGCCTCGAACGGGCACACGCGTGCGTCCATCTTCAGCCCCGAAGTCGGGGTCGGTCACAGCACGAGACAAAAAATGCGAACGATGCGAACGACGCGTAAAAGCTAGTAAACGAAACGCGCACTTCTCTCTTTTGTACCGAGTCCTTCGCGTTCGTCGCGTTCGCCGTCGCTGATCTGGATCCTCGGGAAGCAGAGCTGGTCCTCTAGGAGGAGGAGGAGGATCACTTGTGGCCACGCTGCGCGAGGAAGTATTCGATCTGTTGCAAACAGATCAGCTGCTGCATCAGGCTCTGCAACGGATCCTGGCCCTGGGACTGAGGTTGCTGCGCTTGCTGCAACGGTTGCGGCAATGTTCCAACCGGTGGTTGACCAACCGGCGGCAGCATAGCGCCAGCAGCCGACTGCTGTTCGGCCAACAATTGTCGCTGAAGCTGTTGCGCCTGGTAGTGAGCGACCGCGACCAATTCCGAGGATTCCATCCCCATGGATGCCGCAGCAGCGGCCGCGGCCGCGGCGTGACCCAGTTGAACGTGCTGTTCCGAACGATGATGGCTGGCCAGGGCGGCCGGATGACAGGCTGCCAACGGGTGTACACCGACGTGCGACAGTCTGCCGGCCGAACAACCGGACGAGGCCAGGTACGCGCCGGGGAGGTTGGGGTTCTCGCCCCGCTAGGGAGCCATGTTCTTGGGCCTGCGCCCCCGTCGCCCCCTGGTAGGGGGGCGCGGGGACTCCTGGCCTCACTGGCTCACCGCAGGGCTCTTCTTGTCTTGTTGCTGTTGACTGGCATCCTGAGACCCCTGTACACCCGTCGCTGCACCGCCTTGCCCGCCTTGTACTCCCTGGAACAGGTACGCGAGACCAGGGAACGCTTCAGTTTCGAGATCGGCCAGCGTGTATCCTGCATGGAAATTCACGAGACAGTGGAACGGTTACTACCTGACTACCAGGTCCTCCCTGTGGCGGGCCGGGACCACGGTCTGGCGGCCAAGAGTTGCCCGGTGTTGGTTCCGAATGGAACTGGTGGGGATGAGGTGGCGGTCCACCCTGAGTGTCGTGACTGTGAGGGTCCAGGCTGTTCGCCGCGTCGTACTGCGTGTTCTCCAGCCTTGTAATCAACCGCTCGTCCTCGTCGCCGAAGTCGCCACCCATCAGGGATGGTTCACCCACCACCATCACGTCCTGCGGAGAAAAATTTCGTTGATGAAGTAAACGTATTCCAGCATAGACGTGGACAGTTTCGTCTGGCGGACTTACCTGGGACGCTAGGGAAAAATTTGGACCGGGTGACCTCTTCTTGCTAGGTGCCGGAGGCGCGTTGTTGCCCGGCCCCGAGGTGCTACCCTTTCGCTTTCTTCGTTTACTAGCCGGCCTCTGCGATTCTGCAAGAACAGGTCCCGGATCAGGTCGTTAGATCGTGCAGAGGGAGGATATGCTAGCCATGTAGCAGCGCGCTAAGAAACTTCAGACCGCTACCCAGCTTTGGACCTTTATTCGCGTCAAAGGTCTCTGACACACAGAAGCATGCATGCATCGATGGACGAACAGATAGACAGACGTATGTCTCTCGCGTCTCTGTCGTCCCTTTCTCCAACGAAAGCTACTCAAAAGAAGTCAGCACTCACGTCGAAGTGTCTTTTTACAGAGAAACACGCATCGCGTCGCATCGATACGATCCTATATACGCTTGTTAACGCTCTCGGTTCCGTGATTTCGTCGACCTTGAAGAGAGGCAGGGCCGCGCAGGATGATCCGACGGGGGGGGATCGTGGGCTAAAAAGGAAGAGGAAACGCGGTGCACGCATACGCATGATAAAAAGGCTCGATAAGTGTTCGAGAAGAGGCGGTTTACGAGTCCAAGTGGCACGCAACGCGGGCGAACGAATCGGGGAAACATTGGAAAGCACTACGTTATCTACCGGCAACCATCGACCGTGAGACTCAAAGTTGCTCGATTCCGCGGAAACAGAAGCTTTTCATCCAAGCAGATACGATTCAAGGTTAACCCATTCAACCGATCGCTGAATCGTGGAAACAAACCGTAGCTTGTTTCCATGCTACTTTGCGAATTCGTATGCAACCACGATCGAGTCGTGCCGTGTTCAGTAGTGGATGCAACATCGTGACCGGTAACGGTTGAGCGAAAAAAACGGCAGGAAACTGGAATGCTCCCCCTGTTTCAACTACGTTAGCAACAACACCAATTAGCAAGTGAAAGAAGAAGAAAAATACAAGAGGATCGATGAGGAAAGGGAATAGTTCTGGTCTTCGAAAACAACTGGAACCGAGATTCGTAACGCGGCAAACGTTGGCCGACGACAAATTTCCGTCGTATCGCGATCGAAAAACGAATCCTGCGGTAGACTGGTCGGCCGTTTGGCTCCACTGGCTGGTGCTTCTCATGTAAAGCAACTGTTCGTCTACCTCTCTTACCCGGCGGGGCAATCATCCTCTGCCATTTCTGGAACAAGGTCGTCTTCAAGCAATCCCGTGGTGACAACGCGTACGCCTTGTGCCTCGACATTAGCTCCTGCATCGGTTCCAAGATCACGCATAACTGAAAACGGAAATGAGGAAAATATTCTAGAATTAAACAAAGAAACCGCGTATCGGGAGCGTATGAAAATGCGTGTTTATACATCGTTAGGAGTAAATCGTGATAAAATGATATTCATCTAAAAGGGAAACGAAAATATTCGCTGGATACGGAGAAACGAAATAAATGCGAGAGCGTTATTTAATCCGACCCGACTTCGACAGGGAACTTATGCGAGCTATTAATATGAAAATTATCGTATACATCGTGTATAGCCCGGTTGAAAATAAACTTCCTAAAATATATTTCCACGGTGCGTAGCACACGCGAGTGCTGCGAGCAAATTAAATTTGGTTTATGTTTGCCGTGATAAAACTGAAATCCATTTTACATTATTATCGTGAGCGCGTAATTTCCTGTCTGCCTTTATATCATAATGACGACAATTAAAATAATCGATAACTCAGGGCGATTGGACAAAGAGGCGACGCGTTTCGAATTTATTTCAAATTACCAAATAACAAAATGAAAAAAAGGAAAAAAGATTAAAAGAATTAAACAATATATACCGAATTGATATTAGAAAAAGGGTACGAGTCGCGGATAAAAGAATCGTTTAAAACGCGTTCTTAATTAGCCGAGTCTTTCTCAATCCCGTAACGAAGAACAACCGGACGTGGGTAGATTTTCTCTGACAGCTTTCGATCAACGACACAACAATCGTTTCAGCGAACAGAGAGTAACGATACGCGCGAGTGAAAGCGCTTCCGAGCGTGCAAAGAAGGTGGATCGTAAACCCGGATATACTGTCTGATACTTTCGCGAGACGATCACCTCGCGATACTTGGCCCATTTAGCCCTTTGCTTTCCATGTTTACATTTCACCTCGCCAACTGTTGTCCCGCCACAAATAGCACCGTGAGAATGTTAGCTATTTTATCAGGTACGAATTCACCAGGTTACAAGACACGGAGGAACTCGTAAAGCCGACGACACGGTTGACACGCCCGATGGCAAGGAGGTTTAGTTATACTTACCCTAAGGTAGTTCAGGGTAGAATTGGTGATGCCCTGCCTGGTAATGTTTTTGCTAAGCTGTTCGAGCATCGTCGGGTCCTGTTGCATACCGACCACAGACCTAGGCACCAGCTCCTTGTGCGTCCTCACAGCCATATGCCACGACTTTATCCTCATAAGGTCGTCAAACGTGAATTCCAATATTAATCTACCCTCCGTGCATACCTGGGAAACGAACACACACGTTTAAATGCCATCGAAACAATGGATGTTATAGGAAAGTAACGTGTTCACCGGCCGACTGAATCGAGATCGAACAATTTACCTTCGTGAACATCGGTTTTCCGTGATGCGTGACCATTACGCAGTGATCACAGTCGAGGGTTATGCTTGTATTATGAAATGACTCCTTGGGGTGCTTCAAATTGTAGTAAAGTTCCGTCACTCCGCCCTCGAATATCGAGCGGAAGTACCTAGGTATTAACGTCCTACCTATCGCTGCAAGGATGAACAAACAGCTCGTTAGTTGATCGAAGGGTTAACATATCCACCGATTGTCGGAATTTTTTCATAACTTTCTCGCCAAGTCGCGTTACGCGCCAGAGGGAAAAGTTGGGAAGGCGAGGTATTTCAAGAGAAAATTCAGTGAAAAGCTGTTGGAACTCGGTGGCTGACACTTACTGTATCTCTTGGGACCATCCTCCAAGCAAAACGAGAGGGTTAAGGTTGCGTCGTCCTCGAAGAATTCGGTCGCGAATGCGTCCCACCAGAGATTATCGCTCTCCTGTAACAAAATAGCAAACGGAAAGATTGTAATACCTAACACATCCGGTCAAACGATATCGAAGTTCCATAACAGCAGTTACTATCGAAAAGGTAAACAGAAACTAGATTCTCGACTCGGTGTTCGCCACTTCCGTTACAATTTTCCCTCGCAATAGGAAAAGTTTACAAACGAACGCGTTTCAACTTCCTTTAAGAGGAAATTCATCGTCGAGGCGATGAGTTTTGAATGAAATTCAGGTGTGAATTATACCTGGTGAATAGCATGATCGACAGACGTCGAATACGTGAAACCGTTCGGGACCGACAACATTATGACCGGCTCGGTACAACTATGTCCCTTCAACATATTCCTGTTACTCTACATATATATTGACGCGTTCGTCGCTGCATGAATATTTATAACGTCGATACGAAACGCTTGAAATTTTTACGTCGTAACCTCGTGAAAAATCGACCGACTATGAACACGGAGGTTCGCTGTCTCGTTTTCGAATCGCGCGAATAAGAGCGCATAAACACGCGGCACGTCTAAGTAGTCGGTTAAAGAAACAAAGTTGGACACGATATCGATCAGCTGTGACAACTGTACATCCTCTGTCGGACCTATAGAACCGCTCTATAATTAATAAATTTTAAATGACCCGTGGTAAATTGAACGGAAAAAAATTAAGTCCAAGTTGAACGACCTGTATGTTCTAACGACAACTGCAACAGTTTGATATCGTGACACGAAATCGAATGACAGGACTATCGGCGAGGACTAACTGACAGCATTAAACGTCGCGATTTACCGTCAGATGAAAACGTAGGGTAAGGGTTGCGGGCGAAGAAAAGACGTCGGGAGCGAGGCCATGCGCGGGAAAATAATAATAAGAGCGAAGGGAGAGGACGGTGTGGGTGGAAGCTGGATGCATAATTGAATGAAAGCGCAGCGAACAAGCGCGGCCAAGAGCCAAGGGGTAGTTCCTGCGACTAAGAGGGGGAGGTGAAAATGCTATAATTTCAAGCCAGACAGTCATGCGTTATTCAGCAACGACCATAGGCTGGCTCTGTCTTCGCCTCGTCCTTTCCTCCACCCTCGTCCGCTTCTCCTCTTCTCCTTTTCATTCCGATCCCCATGGACTTTCGCGTCTTCGAAGCGCACCCCCCAGAAATGATTCCGAGTTCTCTAAATCGACGCTCGATCGATCCCGATGATTCGCGAAACGCGAATCCGAGCGGACAATAGGAAGAGGCGCGTGGCCAGCCGAGATTTATTTCGGCCGCGTAAACCGCGCCGTGCCAAATCAAGCAAACTGTTGCCACTCTCGCGCAAATTGATATTTCTGGCAAGCGTACAGCTCCGTAGCGAGACGGAATCCGGTAGAGGGGAATAAAGACGTGGAGCAGTCGATCGGGATCGAGAAATAGATCGAACAGTGCTGGAAGTAACCCGCTGAGCACGGAAGACGAATGCCAAACGTTAAGTAATATCTCAAGCACGCTTCGCGAGAAGTTTCAACGAGATGAACGCTGATCGCGAGTAGAGTATACAGTCGTTCGGAGAGCTACTCGAGTTTCTAGATTTCTTCTCCCCGATTGGTTTGTTCGTTTAGAAGGAACGAACTTCAAGCTAGTTCACCTGTTAATGCCTTTGTAAAAATTTTCCATTCGTACAACCGCGAACGGTTCGATTCTGTCGTATCGCTATCGGCCTCTACGATCGTCATTATTTCAGTGATTGGTACTGAATTAATCATAATTACACGTGTCGCGGTTATTCACGATATTCGTGTCGCTATCGTTGCCAGAAATTCCTAGCGCCTATAATTTAGTATATAATTATCGTTAACCTTCGTTGGTATCCTAGAAAAATATTAGCTCCCAGGATCGTAGCGTAATTTATATCGCGAACGTGGGTACACAGAGAAAGCAATCCCTCGTTAATATGCAATTTTCGACTCGTCTCCGCGAGACCGGTATCATTCTCGCGTTTCTTCATTGTCGTTACCTGGTAAAACCGAGCACGACTTTGTAGCGTAAAACTTTCGAAACTTTTAATCAAACTGGCGCACTTCGAAGACACAAGTTCCGTATACACGGAAGCTTGAATCGATACCAGCTAGTGTTCCTACGAATCAAGCAAACTGTTCGTTACCGGTGCGAATTCGTCGGAAAAAAGGAAACTGTACTAATTAAAATATTTCAATTTGTAATTAATTAAAAATCTTTCTCCTTCCGATTGAAAATCGGAGGAAGATCTCGATTTCTCGAATCACGTACGAGCGTTGTCCATGTACAGCGAGTAAAAAGGAAATCGGCACGGGCGATCGGCGGAGAAAAGCGCGAATGACAACACGCAAGAAATTCAATCTCGATTCTCTGCGACGCGAGACGGGTAGGGAAAAAGGCGGGGGTGAAAAAAGGGAATGGAGGAAAATCCGTCGCGGCGCCGGAGACACACAAATCATCGCTGATTTCCACGATGTGCCCGGACAAAGCGGCGAAATACGCGCTCTTTCGGCCGGCGTATTAGCCAGAGTTAAATTCAATTTGTTCAGGCCGAAGTAGTCCTGCCGCAGACTGTATGTACACGTATACGCGCGAGATAGAGAGAGGAAAAACGGAAAAATCCAGGAAATGCATCGTAATAAGTGAAGCTGGAGCAGAAATGAATCAGGCGAATCAAAAATATCAATAAATTAAGATGAAATCTGATTTCTACTTTTCTGCTCGACGCCCCTTTTTAGGACCTCGAGTTAAAATTAATCGAAAATTTATTTCAGGAAGATTCTACCCTTTTCTGTTACCCTTAGTTGAAGGAAGCCTAAGTTACTACCGAATAGAATATTAAAAAACCAACACATAATTTTCTGCTATTAATTCTCTAGGGTCCGTTGCCAATTTTTTTGCTAGCTTTCTACAAGAATCTGATGCTGGTAATAGGGGATTCTTTTTTTTCCAATCGTTGGCTCGTTTTCAGATCTTAAGGGTGGAATCGTGCCATCTCCTCCTCGGCTAAGATCTTGGAAGGAAGAACAGAAAAACATTGTTGAAATAAGTGTTTGATCATTCCGTTATGTTTCATAGAATGTGTAAGAGCGTTGTGCGACTAGGTGTAGATTCAGAGGGTGGTGGTAAAGCTGATCGAATCGTTGGAATCTATCTAAAGACTGATCGATATTCATAGACAGTTTCTAATTTGATGCGCACAGTTCTGCCTTCTGTCGCCGATACAACTTATTGTTGAATCAGTATGATACGCTCGCAAATGTCTACACAAAAGTTAGAGAATGGTCGGTTTTAGATATTTCGGGAACAATGTATCCTTTTCCTGTTACCGAGTAAGGTGAAACGATTTGTACGAATTTCAGAAATATTTCACAGGTGAGGTAATTATAGAACAAAGATGAAATATAAATTAGAAGTAACTGAACGAACACAATAAAAGATAAAAGAAATCCAAATGTTTTCAAGTTTCGTCGTTCAATAAAGAAGAAACCCAAATTAGAATAAGAATCGCTCAAGTATCTCAATTACACTAAATAATAAAAGTAATTCAACATTTATGAAATATGACCACTTGAATTTTCCAATGTTTCTTCTTCGATGAACAAGAAAGACACAGGTAGAAAACTAAGCCAAAAAACGAGATCATAAAGAAGAAAAAGAAGGAACACAATGGCAGGAGAGTCGTCAGCATCGTCGTGTGCTCGAGCCTCCCCGATTCCGGTTCGATTCCAGCGACAGAAAAGGAAAAAACGACGCGAAGAACCCGGCATATTTCCAACGTTAGCAGGTACTACCAACGTTCCACTCCGAAACTACTATTTCACCACGAATAAATATTTCTTCTGTCATCGATCCTACGATCCATCTCTCGCCGAACGTGTCTCGTCTTCGTCACTTTCATATAGGATAAATAATTTTATCAAAAATCGAACAGGAATTGTATCTCTTCGTCATTTGTCAATTCTTTGTCACCTTTAACGTTTCTCTATTAATTATTAATAAATTTAATTAAAATAAAGGAGCACCGTCTTGTCTTTCTTCCCTGTCAATTCTTCGTTACCTTTGTTGCAGCTGCATCGATTCTCAAAAAAAAAGAAAGAAAAATCAAACAACAACAACAAAAGGACTTGAAAAACAGAAGAGAAAAATGTATTATCAGAATTGTTCCCGGTCCTCGTCCCAGAAACGATTCACCGCCAATAATTTCATCCCTCTTCCTGTCCTTATCAACCCTCTCTCTTTCTTTCATTCCTCTCTGCAACTGCATTTTTTTTCCCTTCCATTTTTCACCCCGGCTGGGCGTCGGTCTTTGTGCTGGCTGTACCAGTGCCGGGGTTGCCGTCGGCTTTTCACCAGGACTGTACCACCCTACTGTTGTTAGGGGGGTGTGGGGAGACTAGGGGTGGTATATGATCGTGTATATACGCCGGCGAGAAAGTATTGTCGCTGCGCTCCACCTCTCGATTTTCTTACGAAAATCATTTCGATCCGGTTAATCATCATCGATCCGGATAATTAGTATATGGAAAAATCGAGAAAATTCCTGGTAACACAACCATCATTTTTCAGAAATTTTCGTGAACGGTAAGGGTGGCGGATAGCAAGGAAGAGATTTCTCTCTGGACAGTCGAGCCAGGACAAAACTGTTCCGGCCGATCGGAGTATATACGGCCAGGGGCGGCGGCGAGAGGGGCGAGCCTGGGTGGGAGAACCAGGGGTTGGGGGGTACAATATGGGTTATCGAGGGGGCCCCACCCCCGGGGGAGAGCAGGGGCCCTCATTTTATTACCCAGGCTCCCATAGAGGTTCTCAACCGACCCTTACGCTTCTCTTCTCTCGACTTTCTCGTTCCGTCACTCTTCTACCACAGTGACTCGCATATTCCTTCAAATATTTTCTAATTCGAAAATCACTTTTCAAAACGATACTCCACTATCTTGAGAAGCTTTTTCACACAGATTAATCAATTTATCAGAAATCTTTTAACACTTACGATATATTAAATTG